TAGCTGGGGGCATTTCAGACTATTCAAGGGAGCCTTGAGGATGCTTATGGTCAGCCTCATCAGACTTTTGAAGTCCGACTCTCTGAGGATCACACTCGTGCATCAGAGTTTCTGTAGTGTAGAGTAGCCTTACCTTACTTCCCGTTTGCTCTCTCTGCTGTGTGCTTGGGGGTGAGATGTGATCTCTCAACATCCTGCTTCTGCTGCCATGCCTGCCAAATGCTGCCATGCCTCCCTGCCAAGGCAAAGCTCATCTGTCTGTAACCATAGCCCAAATCATCTCTTCTCTTCCATAAGTCACCATTGGTCATGGTGCTTTATCCCAGCAATGGGAAAGTAGCTAATACCATTGCTAGTTAGGTAAGGTTCATCCAGAATAACACTTTGTGATTAACATATGAACTTTGTTCCCACCTGTATTATGTCTTCACCTTATCATCAGCTGATCCCATCACTATGGAACTAGAGGCAGGAGGAACATAGCTTGAGACCAGCCTAGGCTACATAGCAAGAGCCTGTCTCAAAAAGAAATTCTTTACTTTTGTCATATACTAGAACTAACCTTGGGTATCGTCATCCCAGACCACCCTTCATCTCTCAGATCTTGCTTTCCCTACAGTGGAAATGATTTATAGGACTGTGTTTGTGTGTATGTCATGAAGAGAGACTCTTGAAGGTCACACGAAGACCTGTCTACCACATTAGCTATGGCTATCATTTTCCAGTTAATAAGCATTCATTGAGTGCTTACCATCTGTCGGGCATTGTTAGTTTATATTTGAAGGCAAATAACTGCTTTAAAAATAAAGCAGAATTTGGGTTGCCGGGATCTTCATCAAAAGTTGCTTTAAGTAGGGTGATGAATACTGGCTGAATGGAGAAGATAATATCTGGGTAAAGCTCCTAGTAACAGCAGTGGTTTTCCCCTGACATATGCTGGAAGCTCTGCACGTGTTGCCGTACATGGTCCACTTATGCCAGACCTTTATTTTGTGGAAACACTGAAGAAAAGCAAATTCTGTATTTGGCTTTCTTGCATGTTTATGGAGACTACACATCAAAGTGATCTGGAAGGAAAGATCTTGTGGGCTAATCAGAAACTTTGATATTTCAAGGTGGTACACTGTGCAGATGTGTGTTGTGTGAAATTGGAATAGGACATTATCATTTTGTGGTCCTGTTGATTAATCAATATACCACTAGGCCTCAGCAAAGCTGATGGTTTATTGATTGACTGACTGATTGACTGACTGTTTCATTGTTGGATTTCATAAATTAAACTACAGACATGGTGATTTCAAAGAAGAAAAAGATACACTGTCTGACTTTGAAAAATTTACAGTTAATTAGGATAGATTCGTGTATGGATAATTTAAATTGTGGCATCCTATTTGGCAAATCAGTAGTATTTTATTAAAGAGAATGAAAACAAAACACTCTTTGTACTATATACTGGTGAGACCATTGAATCAAGAACGTGAACAATTTCTAGAACATCTTTCTGAAGATGTTTAGTATTCCACACACCCAAGCTGGTGTTGGTGAAATATTCATGCTTGGTCACACATGGCTGCCTTGAGCTCATATAGGGCAGAGGAAACAGTGAGTCAGTGTTGTTCCCTGATCATGGGACACTACGTGGGGGTGGGGAAGAGCAGCGATAAGTAAATATTGATAGGATAGGCACAGGGTTTATGTGGCTATGTCTAGCACCGCAGTATAGCAAATCCCATGCTTGGAAACCTGGGGAGCAGCAGGCTCTCGAGGGGTTACGTGAGAGCCATCTTCCAAAACTACACTACCAAAAACCTGAGAACCTCTTAAGATCTAACTTTCCCACACCACTTCCAAATATCAAAACCCCAAAGACCAAACCTTCACTCACAATGTACCTTATAGGGACATGCAAGAATACCCATAGAGTAAGGGAAAGGCGATTAGTAAGGAAGACTTAATACACATTATGTTGGTTGTTTGGAAGAATGACGGAGATTCTCTCCTAGGTTCAGAATGGGTCATAAACTTAAGGGCCGTGGAGCCATCAGGTAGCTTCTCTCGGGTGACTGGATTTTGCTTTTGTGTTCTCCATGTTCCCTAGAATAGCCAGGTGGATGACATGGTTGGAATACCTCTTCCCTGGTGCCCTAGTTAAGGTTCTATTGTTGTGCTAAAATCTATGACCAAAACCAACTTGGGATGGAAAGGTTTTTATGTCAGCTTACAGTTGCAAGTCCATCAAGAAGGAATACTGTCTCCTCCATGTAGGGACCCTCCTGCTACACAAGTGGCCTCATTGGTTGTCTGGAACCTGAAGGAAGATTCCACAACCTCTTTCCTCATATATCCTTCACTGCTGTAAAGCCAGAACCATGCAGATGGCACTGCCAAGTGCATTGACATATTTACTAGGAAGCTGTCATTTATATAATCATTTCTCAGATTTCAAATGTTAAGGATACAAAATGATGAAGTATTGGGATTAATGCATTATCTCACCCAGTGAATTCCTTGAGTCACAGACATTGGACAGAACTAAATACATGTTTTATAAAACTGTCAGTGAACTAGGGCGATAGTTGGTATGGTGGAGTGCTTGCCTAGCATGCCCAAAGTCCTGGGTTTCATCCCAAGCACCACACAAACTTGGCAAGGTAATGCAAACTTGTAATCCCATCATTCAGGGATGATGAGACTCAAAGTCATCTTTGGTAACATGGAGAGTTCAAGGTCAGCCAAGGTTATATGAAGCCTTATCTCAAAATCTCAAAAACCAAACAATTTCATAGATGGAGAAGTAGGAATGGTATCTATTAACTTGTTTTTAGGTTATTTTATTTTATTTTATAGTTTATATATGGTCTTATGTAACCCAGGCTGGCCTTGAACTGCTCATCTATCTGCCTCCATTTCCCAAGTGCTGTGATTACTGGCATGTGCCACCATGCTTAGTTTATGATGTACTGAGGACCAAATTCAGGGCTTTGTTCATTCTATATAAGCATGCTACCCAATGAACTATGCCCAGGTTTTGAAAGCAGTCTGTCTTTAAGGAAAACGTTTTTTGTTTTTTTTTTTTTTTATTTTCAGAGGGCTTTTAGAAACTTTGAATAACGTCTTTAACTTTTTAGGTAAACCTATAAAGTGTCTTTCTGGGTAAACCAAGAAGTCTAAGTTTGCAATCAGCTCTAGGCAAGTGCAGGCGTACTGGATTTTAGGATGAGTACTACATAAAGAAAGCTGAGTAACTGCTCTGCCCCCACAGCCTGACCTTGTCCTCAGAGAACAAATGGAGTAGAAGGTGTTACATTGCTAAGTTCTTTACATCCTGTTGAATTCTTCCCTCTGCAGGAAAATAAGAGCAAGACGTTTAGAGGCAAGACATGCTGCTTTCAAAACTACCTTGCTGTCTTGCATACATACCAATGCATCTCCTGTTTAATTAAAGTAATTTAACTTCCTAAATTAGCATATACACGCTGAGGTTTCTGATAGGTTGGGATGTAGGCTATTCTCAGAAGATCTGGCACAGCTCTGGGTAGACTGGGTGTATACTTTTAATTGAATTCTTTTTTTAGTTTTAAATTCCAGAGCAGAAGGAGCCTGGCTACCAGAATAACCCCACCTCCCAATAAGTGTTCGAAAATGAATAATTGACATAGCCCATCGTTTATTTGATGTGAGCTTATATCACGTCCTCAGTGTTATAAATTGAGATTGCAAAGCTTTTTAGTTAAAATGTGACAGTTGATTATTTCCTTAAGGTTTTAAAAGACATCACTGATGATCGCTGTTCAATTTTAAATGAGTATAGATATAGGATGTGTTGATTGGGTTGAGAATTAGAGAAATGTGCACTAGGGAAGAAGTGTTGTGAATAAGCAAATGGCTTGAGCTGAATGGGGTAACTGAGGAAAGCGGTGTTGGGAAATGAGAGGAAAGAACTGCAGGAGTTAGTGCTGGATACTCTTGCTACAAGGCATACAGAATAGAAAGAATGAGAGGGCTAGGGAAGGATAAAGAGAGGGAGGAAAAGGGAGAGGGAAGGAAGGAAAAAGTGCTTTCGATGAAAGATGAAGCCCTGTAAAACAGATAAGAAAGGAACTACAATGTGGACCCCAAATCATGATATCTGAATAACAGTACAAACGCCAAAGAGAGCAGATGACAGGGGACGGGGATTCTTGCAGCAGAATTCAGCCAATTTTTAATGAGCTCCTATGCAGTGGACAAAGAAAGTGACTTTGAAACTATAAGCAGATTTAAAAAGCTCAGGCAGATTAGAGGCACTGTCATGAAGCAGGGAAGTAGTGGCTAAATCTTGCTCTGGGATTAGCTCGGGGACCAAAGCATGGTCTGAGGAATTCAGGGGTCCACCTGCCTGAGGCTAAGAATGACTCAAGATCTTATTCTTGCAGAGTAGTAAGAAGCATGGTTTCTAGCCCTTTGTGTGCATCATGTTTTGTAGCAAAAGAATGCAAAGGGTTCACTGGGAATTAGGCTTAGCTTGTGACTTCTTATTCAGTCAGTCACTATCCTCCTGCTCTTTGCCCGTGGTCTACTGCTGCTGATAGCACTGGCCACAGTCAAGTCTGTGGACCCTAAGCATCCAATTCAGCTCTCCTCCATTGCAACAGCGAATGTAACATGTAAGTTTTATGGACCTCCTTTGAACAAACACTCTTGCAATATTCTCTGTGTGTGAAGCTTTGCTGGTTCTAATTACTTTGAGACACTTAATCCTTCTGTTAAACTAGTAGCTTCGCTTTGCTTTGAGGCAGGCTATGGAACTCAGCCTGGCGATTGTGAAGTCCAGGCTCACCTCAAACTTGTGATTCTTCTAGATTGGAATCAACGTGTAGTGATTACAGGCATGCAACCATCATACCTATCTTCTATTAAATAATTTTGAAGAGGAGTCTCATAGGTAGGTACTTTTATTATCCCCATTTACAATAGGATAACTGTTACATGGTAAGATTAAGAAGTTTGCCTAAGATCTACAACTATATAAGATGCTCAATCTCACAGAGGAAATGGTTCCCTGACCCAGTTTTGAGAGGAGGCAGCAACTTCCAGATAACCATTCCTATGAATATCTACCCTACATGAGCAATGTTTCCATCACCCACGTGTGCCTGCACTGGTAGCGCTCTCGCGTCTGCATTTGATTGTGATCACTTTCTCCTTTTCTCTTCCTCTCAACTTTCTTCTAAAGTAAAACCTTTATTGGTGGTTATTTTTATATGACCACCATACAGGAGAACATTGTCACCAGAAAAATTCTTCCTGGTGGAAGAAATGATTGGACCAAGGTTTCAGAAGAGAAAGAAGAGGGTCGTTCTTTGGTTGTCATACATCTCACTCTCAGGATGGTAATGGCTTTTCAGACGTCTCACATGATACTCTCTATTCTCTGTAGTTACTTAATTGGCACAACTGGCAAGAAAATCCTCCCTTTCCTACTCATAGGGCAGCCCATGGTTAACACCGTCAGCAATGCATGTTGTGGACTGTGTAGTGCATCTATTAGTACCATGGAAATTACAGATGTAGAGATAGAGTTGGGGAGCCACACGTTTCTTTAGAATTGCCCTTCACACGTCCTCTCCAATCCCTTAAAGGGAGAAATGCTCTTTCCTCGCTGCACCATTCTGAACTTCCTCAGGTAACTTCAGAGTAAGTGAACAGATACTGATACCAACACAAGAACTTTCATATACAGTCATTTGGAGAGGATTATAATCTGCAAATTGTAAACACAAAATGATCTGGAACATTCTCACCCTCTATGCTACTCTCTGAAAAGTGTTCTAGGGAATCGTGCTGCGTGTCTCCTCTCCATCTTCAGTAGCCTACCATCAGTGTAGAGCCCAGTGTAGCAATGGTACTGCCTTCCCTAGTTGATCATCTTTAGACGCAAAGTCATGGAGGGGGAAAGGGAAATCTGAAACTACAGAGTGTTTTCAATCTTAAGTCAGAATGAATTCTTAGGGAGAGTACTCTTCCCATTGAATCTGTCAACAAGGATGGCTTTAGTCATAAGATTTATTGTCCTGTACTAAGAGCAAAGTCTGAAAGGGAAGAGGAAAGACACAGGATTTTATCTGTGTGTCTTCTTTCTGCTGACCTGTGAGGTGATCGAGGACAAATGTTCATGCTTCTCTTGCCTGCAGCTAAATCTTCAGTTCCTCACATTGTTAACAGCACTTGGTTAAGCAGGAGGCATGCTAGAAATTGGACTATAATAGGAAACACAGGTAATATATTCTTCCTTCCCAAACTCCTTTTTAATAGCACAACTCAAAATTGCCTGCACACCTTCCTAGGCCTGCACAGACAATGTTTTCCCGTAGAACTTACAGAGAACTACAACACACACACACAAAAAAAAATTGCTTGCAAAAAAAAATCATTGACTCAGGGCAAAAACATATCTGAAACTAGAGCCCCTAATTAGTTTCCCATCACCAAGTCACTGAGATCTAGAGCTGAGAGTCCAGATTTAGGATACAAGCAGGTGATACAACACTCAATATGGGCACAGAATTCGGGATGAGATACATAGCCACCTAAGCATAGGCTAAAAGTAGCAAGTTATAGGAAATTCAAAGTAACCTTACTATGTTAATGATCTTCAGAGCATACTGTATCTACTCCCTTCTCAACAGGTGTCCTTCATCTTCACAAATAGCTATTCTCAGTGGTCTCAGGCATTCAATTCCTCAGATGGGAAACCAGGAACCATTTTGTTTTACCAATGACATGTTCTAGAATGTGCCTATTATTATAGACTCATTAAGTATTTCTGGGACCCCTGCTTTTCTCTCTACCATCTCTGAATGTGTGCCCTACTTAATGACAATTCTCTCTTATCTGGGTTATTGCGACACCTTCCTGAGTGTTCTCTGCCCTACCTCCCTCTGGCTAGTCTCTCTAATCAAGGCAAAGAATCTTTCTGAAATGTGTATTTTCTTCAGTCCCTTAAATAGAGCTCAATCATGTAGAGAATCAAACTCAATTAGCATGGCCTAGAATTTCCTTGTGCTGTGCTAACTTCGCCTCACCCTCCCTCATCCTCATCCTCTATGGTTTATACAAATGGGCTTTATACAGATCCAGCAGTGGCAGAAAGCACATTCTTCTCAAAACACATGAGGACCATTCTCTAGGGTGGCAAGACAAAATAAGTTTTAACAAATGTAAGACTCTGGAAAACATAGTTCCTTAAAAGGTAGCTATCAGTAGGAGGAGTAATTTCAGAGAATTCATAAATACACGAAAAACTAAACATGATCCAGAACAACTGATATGCCAGGGCAGAAATGGGAAATTAAGAAAAAAATGAGACAGAAAGCATTTTGTGTTTTAAAAAATACAAAAATGTATGGTAGCATCAAGAACAATTATAGGCGAGAAGTTTATAGTGATACGTGTCTGTATCAAGCTGGAGGTTCCAGATGCACAGCTCAGTGTTAAATCTCAAAGACCTAGGAAAAAAATGCATAAAATTAGTAGGGGGCAGAAAACAATAGGTATCAGAGTAGAAAGAAATGATGCAGAGATCAGAAGAGTAATAGAAGCCTTCCTAGAAGGGTTGGCTTTGAAAGGGTCAATGCATCTGGGTACCATTCGCTAGGTTAAGGAAATCACATAAAATCCTAAACAGAAGAAGAGGAATTACAACAGACACCACAGGGATGCAAAAGAGACCCCAAGAGACATTTGTGAAAAAAATATATACAAAATTGGATAAGCTGATTGCCAATGGATAAATTTCCTGCAGCGTACAGCCTACCAAGACTGAATCACGAGAAAACAGTAAGTAGGAACATACCAGTGATGCACAAGGAGATTAAATCAGTAATAAAAACTCTCCAGCGAGGTATGGATGCTTGTAGCTGGGATCTCAGCACGCCATAGGCAGAAGCGGGGTATCAGGAGTTCAGGTCATTTTCAGGTACTACTGTGTTTGAAGTCAGCCAGAGCTATATAAAACCCTGTCCAAAGGATTTTTTTTAAAAGAATGATCTCCCATCAAAGACAAAGATGAGTTCAGAAAATGATGACTTTGCTACCAAATTCTACCAAATATTCTAAAAAAAATAGTACCATTCCTTCTCAATTGTTTCCAAAAAATTCAGGACATGAAAACACCTCCAAAATCATTTTCTATGCTCAGCATTTACCTTATATGAAAGCTACACAGACTGCTATAAAAATATAAGCCATTACCCATGGTGAATATAGATACAAAAATCTTTAATAATTACTAGTAAATTTAATAACATGTAAAAATACTTGCTATAATCAAATGAGATTTGTTCCTGGCTCAACAGATACAAATCAATAAAATTGCTGTATTCACAGAATCGTGACCTTGGGGCGATGTGCCTATTTTTTTTTTAAAAACTTGGATGGTAAAGTGTTGTCAGTCGTCTCGTGAATGATAATAGCATCAAACTCATATCATGAAAATAAAAGAAGATTGTTTTAAATTAAATTTTTTGATTCTACTGGACCTATTGGTTTCGTGGGAGCCTAGGCAGTTTCGTGGATGCTCACCTTACTAGACCTGGATGGAGGTGGGTGGTCCTTGGACTTCCCACAGGGCAGAGAACCCTGATTGCCTCCACAGTGACACACTTCTCTAACAAGGCCACACCTACTCCAACAACACCCTACCTCCTAATAGTGCCACTCCCTATGGGACAAGCACTCAAACACAGGAGTCTATGAGGGCCACACCTATTCAAACCACCATAGGTTCTAAAGAAACATTTTTCAAATTCTTGTTGGGAGCAAGAATCCATACATACATGTGTAGTACGCTCATAACATGGGGAAGTGTTCCTCACCTGTTCACACCAGAAGTGGTATAAAACTTCTTCCAAGAAATTTAAAATAGAATGATAACGTGATTCAACAAGTCTATTTCTTAAAGAAATTGAAATCAGCATGTCAAAATTTACCTCCACTTCCATGTTCGCTTTACCAACCTTCACAAGAGCTGAGATAAGGAAGCAACCTAAATGTCCATCAGTGGATGAATGGAACTTGAAATCATGGCTTGCAATTTAGCTCTTAAAGGAGGGATTTTGCTAGCGTGTGTCGGGGGCATCTAGTCTTGGTGTAGATGGCGGCTGGCAGCAGTAGTGGCTGCTGAAAGATGGGGTAACTGTGACCATTTCTTAAAATAAAAATGAAGTTCGTTAACTGACTCTTCATTTCACAAAATTAAAAAAGAAAAGGAGGGAATTGTGTCATCTGCGAGAAAATGGATCAATCCCTGGGACGCTATATAAAATGAAATAAGCAGGGACAGAGAGACAAATATCTCTTTGTTAATTATATGTGGAGTGTAAGCCTTTTAGAATGTAATTGTAATCAGAGGCTAGCATGGGTGAATGGGGAGATGTTAAAGAACACAGAATCTTATTCTTGGAAAAACAAGTTCAAAAGATCTATTGTACAACATGAAGACCATAGTTAATATGAATATATTATATATGTGAAGAGGTTAAGAACATATTCCAGGTGTTTTTACTATAAAAGGAAAAGCTCCATAAACACATACATATATCAGAGTACCATATGGAGCACCATTAATATATAATTTTTACTTGCCAACTCAAAAGTAAATATAATGAGGAGTAATGATAGCTCGTAAAATAAGGAAGTGTCCCCCACCTGTTCATATCAGATTTCACTGCATGTTTAAGAGTAGACTTCCTTCTTGGGTCAAGATGAAATACTTATACTATTCAGTTAGCTAACAATAAACCGTAAATAAATGTAACCACAGAAGTTTTATCAAAACCATCAATGTTCTAAAACTGCTGTGTTGGAGATTGTAAGTCTATCAGATTATGATGATAGTGCACAGAATATCACTTAAGTAACAACAGTTAATCTAAAAAGGGATAAATCGCGATGTCATTTTTTTTTTTTTACTGCTGAGTAATAATCCACTTTGTAAATGTCACATTTTCTCTATCCATGGGTTGACCTAGGCCTTCTGTGTGTGTGTGTGTGTGTGTGTGTGTGTGTGTGTGTGTGTGTGACAGTTCTGTAGCTTGGTCTGTTTGTGGGGCTCTTAGCAGTGGGATGAGTACCTGTCCCTGGCACTAGAGCTGCCTTCTGGGAACCCAGTCGCCAAGTTGGGTTGCCTTGCTCAACCTTGATGCAGGGGGAGGAGCTTGATCCTGCCTCAACTTGATAGCTTGCTTTGTTAACTCCCATGGGAGGCCTGCCTCTTTCTGAATAGAAACAGAGGAAGAGTAGATTGGGGGGGCGGTGCGGGTAGAAAGGAGATGGGAGGGGGAGAACTGGAGGAGAGGAGGGAGGGGAAACTGTGACGGGTATGTAAAATAAATGAAAAAAAGATAAATCAAAATCTGTCTTAGAAAATGCACAAAAGGAAAAAAAGAAACGAAAGGAAAAATAAGTGCCATTCTGTGGCCATGGAAACCGGACTGACTGCGAACATGAGCCTGGGTCCCTGAGCTTGCACACTCCCATCCTCCTCGTCTCTATGGGCCTGGTAAGCCAGGGGCTGCTCTGACCCTCTTGGCATTTGATCAGCTTTGTGTGATGAGCAGTAACAGCAAATAGGCCATTTCGGAAATGGTGGCCTGCTCTGCAGCTGGGTCCAGTGAGACAGGAGGAAATGGCTGGTGCTCCAGCTCCAGTAACCCCGCAACAGGGGGATGACCAATGGCCTAGAAACACTTGTGAGATTCCAGACGGTTCTGCCTCCCCCTTTTGCTTCGGTTGTAATCTCAGTTGCAAACTCCCGGTGATCACTTGGGTCTTTCCGACTGGAATGTTTTCTGGGCCCTGCTCATATCTCAAGGCCTTTTTTTAACCACGACTCCTCCTAGTGTGGCTGGGCACTGGGCCCACAGCCCCAAACCTCTGCATCTGGAGATCCAGCTCCCATTTTCTGAGCAGACTTGTGGTGAAAATTGTGCAAACTCCACAAGGTTAAACAGTTCAGTTTGTTCAATGGCCCTGGCCTGCAGAGCGTTCTCCAAACGCGTCCAAACCCCAGAGATTTATCACAATTATCTAACTTGTGAGAACAAGCTTGCTCATGAGAAAAGCCCTTTCTCATTCTGAGGGAGCCTACGAGTCAAGGCTTTGCTTTCTAAGGGCGAGTTTGGGCTCTGACTTTTGGCTGTCGATTCGACAGAGGAATGAAGAGAAACTTCAAATTCTTTCTATGCTGAAGCAAAGCAGAGGTTTCCAGTTGGGCTCAATTCAATGCTGGATGACTTGAGAGAGATCGCATAGCTCACTGAATGTAGGAATGAGTTCCTTTCTTCCTTTGTACGTGGGCATGAGCTTTTAGTGTGCTGGCGCTGAATTTCATGACTACCATTGAAAACTGAGTTGGGCTTGGCGTTTTGTGATTTGGGGACAGCTTTAGAACCATCTGTAGGGAAACTGACTCTCCCCTCCCATGCTATAATTGGAAATAGCTTCATGATTTAGGTGACTGACAGCTCCTTCAGGTTGAAATCTGATTGCTCAGAGCTCTTGCGGTACGAGAGTGAAATGTGACAGAATTTCTGAAGTGCCTTTATTTGGTGGTCTAATAGGGCCAATTATGCCATTTCTGTCTCTGTTCTTCTCTCCCAGGATCTTCAGGCCCGAAGCAGCGGGGAGTCAGCCCCAGAGGTGTGGCATTGAAACCCCTCTGTGAGACGTTAATGAGACCCGAGCCTCTGAACTCCCTAGGGAACTCTCCTGCCTGTCAGCCTCTCTGTATAGGCTCACTCTTCCATTCCTTAAGTGAGCCCTGCTAGGTCGCATACTGGGCTCAAGCCTTTGTAGTCCTGTGGGAGGTACCCCTCACAGGGACTTCTCATTTTCCCCAGAGTTTTTCCCACCAACACCCTTCTTCCCATTCTGGCTGATTCAGGAAGCTTCTGCTGAGAATCAGTACGGAGTGGCCCTTCCAGAGGAGGTTAGGAGCCTGGCAAGATCTCAAGCTGTGCTCCCTAGAAATGGTCCATTAAGGCTCTCAGGCTTTATCACAAGAACATTGCAAGCTGTTCTCATCATCTGAGCCCCAGACACGTTGAATAGTGGCAGCCTTGTGGGGCTTGTCTGTCACCCCCTGCCTGTGACCTCCTTCTGGAGTGAGGTCTTGGAGAGAGAGGAACAATGTCACTCTCACCTCACAGCAGTATTGCTAGAGCAGAATGCTGCTTCTCTCCCACAAGGGAAAACCTGCCTCAGGCTCTTGCTCATCCATTTGGACCCAGGGTGGACCACATTTGCTTTGAGATTCTCATTGTTTCATATTCATTGTATGTGGTCCTAGACTACATAAGGGCATTTCATCCAGCCAGATTCCTGTTCTCCTCTCTCTTTATTCCTGAGTTCCCTCTGATCCCCTAGACAGTTTTAGTTCTGTTTTCATTTTTTTAAATGCTTGATTTCTGTGAAAATGGTATTGATGTTTTGATGAGGATTGCATTGACTCTGTAGATTGCTTTTGGTCAGATAACCATTTTCACAATATCGATTCTTGCAGTTCATGAGCACAAAATGAACCACCCTGGTGATGGATACTGCACAGTGTAGGAATTTGAAGACTAGTTTTCTTAATGTTACTGTACTAGGGGTCATAATATTTTGAGTATCATCCAGAAACCTTACCCCTGTGTTCTCATTTTAAAACCAAAGTCAAAGTATTAACTGGCTTCAGGAGTTCTCTAAGAACCAAGCCTGATGCAAGGCCTGACAATCAATGAGTACCCAGAGAATGCATTGCATGAACAAGTCCATTAGGACATTAAATATGATACACAATAAAAAGAACATATGTCAGAGTTAAGTTAAAATTATGGAGACAGTTAGAAGTAGCTGAGGGTCAGGAAGCACAGGGCAATCAGCTGTTCAAAGTGTGGATCCTCATTTAGCCAGTGTTGATGGAAGTTTCTGTCCTGCCTGGTCCCACAGCCATTTAGTCCCAAAGAAACACACAAAG